CATGGGATTTGGGGCATGGCATAAGAGAAGAATTTTTCTTTCAATTACCCTCAGTGTTGTTGATACAATGCCAACAACATTAATACTTCCTGAGATGCTGGTGGCAAATTCTGGCTTCGAGAACTTTGCTTTGAGGACTTTAAAAAAGTAAGGTCCTATTCTTTTTTTTTTTTTTTTTAATATTTTTGAAATTCGGATTAGTTTGCGTCTGAGTGGATAAACATAGTAGATGTGAAAGCCTTCATGGTGGGTCTCTGAAATTGGCCAGAATCCACAAATGGGAAGATTTCCGTACATAGTTAACAAATTGTCACATAAACAGGTTCTTGAGATGTAGCAACAAGCGAGCATCTGAGCCCTCTGCGGAGATACCCACCTATCCCAACACTTCCCTCACTCCAGTCTCACTCTCTCTCTGCAGCCACCTGACTAAGTTAGAGGCTGTCCGCTGCTCTCGCTGCCCCACCCCTGCCCTGTGATTCAGAAAGCACAGGGTGGCCTCCACATCCATGGTTCTCAGCCAGGGGCTGTTGGCCCCATCCACCCCCACCGCAAGGGATATTTACCAATGTCTGGGGAAATTGGGGGTTGTCACAAACAATGCACAGGACAGCTCCCCACAGTAAAGAATGATCCAGCCCAAAGCGGCAGTGCTGAGGTTGAGAAACTGTGATTTAGGGATAGGAGAAGTGAAGCTAGGATGTGGGCTTCTGGCCCTGGTCCCCTGTGGCCGGCTGCCATTTGCAAAGGTCATGAGCCAGTCCTGCAGCTCCACCCCAGTGACCTCATCAGCTTCTAGAAACCGAGTGCCTGAAGCCTGACCCAGACAAAGACTGATCTCACTGGAGTCTGCTCACTAGCGGATGCGGGGAGCTGGACCTTGCCCCGAAAAAGTGCCTGTGACATCCACTCCTGCTTCTTCGTGCCAGTCGTCCTTTCTGGAACACCTGTTTCTCAGCGCAGTAAGCTTCCTGCAAAACCAGTTTCTCAAGCTGGATGGCCAAATCCAAATCTCTCTTCCTTGATCGTGTGAACGCCAGGCACAAGGCGACATGCAGGCCAGACCTAGCCCAAGGGGAGGGGAAATTGGCCAAGAGGAGATCCTAGCAGAAATGCTCGTGAAACAATCAAGCCAGAATGAGGAAGTGCAACTAACACTGGCCGAAACCCCACCCAAGGGACTTCGAGGACACGACAGGTCCATGAGCTCGGTCCTGAGAGTTGGCTTGTTGCACTGAGAAGGGAGAGATGAAGAGGAAGCAGAGACCGTGGGATCTGAGAAGAAAAGGGTTCACCGAAAGGATAAAATAATGTCCATGCCTTGAGAATCAAGAAAGGGAACTAATTACCTGACCACGGCTTGGGGAAAATACTTCTTACACCATCTGGCTCCTTTTTTTTTTTTTTTTTTCTTTTCACGTAAACTCTACACCCAACGTGGGGCTCAGACTCTGCCACCCTGAGATCAAGAGTCACGTGCTCTATTGACTGAGCCGGTCAGGTGCCCCCACCATCTGGCTCCTCTTACTTTAGTTTTGTATTTACTGTACAACTCTGACCTCAATGTTTTGTTTTGTTTTTGAGGTCATGCTTTTCTGTTGACCAGATAAAACGAAGACTTGACTGCTTTAATCGCAAATTAATAAATGAGTATTTTGGTTTTGTTGAGTCCCACCCATTCCCTCTTGGGAGAGTCTAAGCTGCAGGACCGGTGGTGCTGAGGGTCAGGGAAACAGAGCTGGAGGCCTTTGGCATCTCCCATGGTGACAAGATGAGGGGCCATCTTGCTTCCGGGGGAAGTCTTTCCATCTCAAGGTATTAAAAATGGTTTTCAGCATGAGTGGCTCTCTGTGCAGATTGGCACTGACACTAAGGCCCTTGTCAGTCCCTAGTGGTTGACAGCATCGTAGAGGGAAGATAGAAAATCAGGCCTCTGTCCCACCAGGTCATTTGGCTCTTCCTCTCCCATGGAAGAATTTCGCTCTCCCATCAGTCCTGCTGAGTACATAATCTTATTAATGAACCAAGACAATAAAAGGTAAAGAAAAGGGAGAGGCTTTTAAATCCAGAGGAGTGGGACACATGGAGGAACCCGAGCCATCGGTAGGCATGAAAGGTTTTTCTAGCAGAGAACTCAGCAGAATCTTGAGAGCAGTTGTCAAGGCCAGAGTGGTTAACCGAGCAGGGGCCAGGTGAGGCATTCTCTCTCAGGGTTGTGCGGGGGAAATGCCCCTGGCTCTCCGAGCTCCCAGCCCCTGCTCACTCTCGTCCCTCCCCTGGTGGTTTAGGCCTTCTTCCAGCTGCTCCAATGGCCAGCTTCTGGAATCTCTGCAGTTTCAAACCTTCTGCTCCAGACTTTGCCATTGCCCAGTGGATTGAGGCTGCTCAGATTCTGGGTCTGCTTCTCTGGTCTGGATTCCCCACTTGGCTTCATCACACTCAGACCTGCCCGGACAGAGTCAATGTACAGGTTCCACCAGAGGTGAATGAAGGTCGAGTTCCTTCCAGCAGATCCCACATGCTTAATCTGAGATCAAGGCAACAGAGAGAGAGTCCAAGCTGCGTGGGGAGGAAGATCCCAGCTGTACCGTGACATGTGCACATTAAGGTCCCTGGAAGCCCCGTGGACACGTGGTGGCTGTGAAGCCTGGGTCACGGCCAGGAAGGGGTGCTCGCGTGAATCGTCTCCACAACATCGCCTAGGAATAGGCACGGTGCCGTGAAGAGATTTCTCAGAGTCCACACTGTCAGAGGCACCTGGGTCTCCAGTCCTAGTTCGGCCAAATCACGACATTGGAGGCTAGAGCCCAGGAACCTGGACTTGAGCCAAGTTTTCCTAGCGGTTCTTATGGACTCTAAAGAATGAGAGCCACGGTGGAAAGAATGGTGAGCTTAGGACATAACCCTGCAGCAAGGAATTATGTCCGATTTGTGGCATCCCTGGTGGATTCTTCTTACCTCACCGTTTTTGCTACTGCTATTTTACCTTTACGGTGAGAAGGGAAGTATTTTACTTTTACAAGAAAAAATAAATAAAACAAAAACAAATACAATGGATAAAAATTTTAAAATATGAAATCAAAAGGAGGAACGAGGAATTGGATGGAGAAGGATGTGGTGGACACAGGGGCGTAGGCAGGCAGCCCTGATGAAGACAGGACCTGCCCGGGGCAGCGGCAGAAGGAGAGGAACGTTAAACCCAGACTTACAAAACTTGGGTTGGATGCCAGCTCGGCGCTACTGGCCATTAACTTGGGGTAAGACGCTGAGCCTCAGGTTTTTGTGAAACCCCGAATTTAATACCTGCTGACATCGTGCCAGTCCCTGTTCTCAGTGCTTTACCTGGATGATCTCATCCAGTCATCACAGAAACACGTTGGGATAGATACAGTTATCATCCCAGTTTTCCAAGTGAGAGACAGAGAGGTTAAGTAACTTGCCCAAAGATGCTCAGCTAGGAAGTGACGGAGCTGGGAAGTAAGTATGAACGTGCCTCGTGAAGCTTATGTGTCCGGAGGCAACTGGGTTTTTTTCCTAGTGGCAGAGTAATTCCCTTTAATCAGAAGGAAACCTTTAGCTTCTCTGTGCGATTGTCTGCTCTGTTCCCAAAGGGTTGCTTTCTCTGAGATCAGCCCTAAGACAGACTCCAAACTGGTCTGCTGGCAAAATACCAGCCCTAGCGGGACAAGTGAGTGTTGTCCTAGGGACGCCCAGTAGACACCAGCATCCTCACGCCACATCTGCCCTGGGACTCGAGGTGTCGCCTGCACTTGAGCCTCCATGAGCCGGCTCTTGGGCCAGAGCGTGGCTTTCAGCATCAGCACATCTGGGCGCCCAGCCCAGCCCTGCCACCTGCCGGCGTCAGTGGCACCTCGGGCCATTCCTTTAACCCACGGGCTTCAATCTGCTTGCTCTGCGGGCTGGGCGTGCGGATTACTGGGTTTTTAAAAAGCCCTGCGGGCAGCAATGTCCACAATAGCCAAACTGTGGAAAGAGCCAAGATGTCCATCGACAGATGAATGGATAAAGAAGATGTGGTCCATATATACAATGGAATATTATGCAGCCATCAAAAGGAATGAGATCTTGCCATTTGCAACGACGTGGATGGAACTGGAGGGTATTATGTTGAGTGAAGTAAGTCAAACAGAGAAAGACATGTATCATATGACCTCACTGATATGAAGAATTCTTAATCTCAGGAAACAAACTAAGGGTTGCTGGAGTGGGGGGTGGGGTGGGAGGGATGGGGTGACTGGGTGATAGACACTGGGGAGGGTATGTGTCTGGTAAGCGCTGTGAATTGTGCAAGACTGTTGAATCTCAGATCTGTACCTCTGAAACAAATAATGCAATATATGTTAAGAAAAAAAAAGAAGAAGAAGAAGAAGGTAGCAGGAGGGGAAGAATGAAGGGGGGAAATCAGAGGGGGAGATGAGCCATGAGAGACGATGGACTCTGAAAAACAAACTGAGGGTTCTAGAGGGGAGGGGGGTGGGAGGATGGGTTAGCCTGGTGGTGGGTATTGAGGAGGGCCCATTCTGCATGGAGCACTGGGTGTTATGCACAAACAATGAATCATGGGACACTTCATCTAAAACTAATGATGTAATGTATGGGATTAACATAAGAATTAAAAAAATCTAAAAAAAAAAAAAAAAAAAAGCCCTGCGGGCGATTATACCGTGCAGCCGGCATTGAGCCCCTCTCTAAACTTCCCGTTCCTTATGTGTAAAATGGGAGTGGCCATTTATAATCCAAACTTACTTCTTGAGCACCTCTTAGGCATTTTCTCATGTACTGATCTGAAAAAGCCCAGGGATCCAGCACCCCGTATCTCCTCTTTCACGCTGAGTTTGCGGTTAGTGGCAGAACCGAGACCCAAACCCGGCTGTTCAGAGACCAGCACAATCCCCTCCATGCCCGACATCCCTCCAGTAACATGTATTTTTCACACGCAGTTGTTCCGAGTTAAGAAACTCCCAGCATAATGCCTGGTACGTAAAAAGCTAATAAATGTAAAATACCTCATTATTAACTTGACACGGGGATTTAGTCTAACCTTCATCTTCCCAGGTGTCTTGGAGTGCTCATGCTATGTTTTGTTTTGTTTTTGTTTTGTTTTTTTAGGGGCAAGGCAATATGCCCCTCTTCAGTGATTACTGGATGCATAAAACTCAAAATTGGGGAACTTACCTCCAATCCTGGATTTCCCAGGTCAGCCTTGCTCAGCCACGGTCGGCCTTGGGTGGGCCTTTGGGGCCACTGTGACACAGGATGCGTTTCCTGGAGCAGAACAGCACGGTGGCCTTCCAGCCAGGGTGGTGGGGGTGCTGGGAGGTGGTGGTGACGCAGGCTGGGTGCGCTGCATCCCCTTTGTCTCGTTTCAGGAAATCTTGGCCCGTTGTCCTTGGTTGGTTGGGTATCTGGGATGACTTCCTGCTGCAGTCCAGAAATCCAGGGCTAAGGTCATGGCCTGGCAGCCCCGTGGGCCAGCTGAGGGCTCTGAACCCTCCAGGCGACCGTCTGGATCACAAGGGGGCGTGTAAAGGGCACAATATGTCGGCAGAGCCTTCCTTGAATCTCCCGCCCCCGCCCGCGGCCCACTTCACCTGCGTGCATCAAAATCACCTGCAGGGCTTGTGAAAGCACCCATTTCTGGCCTCACGCCCAGAGTTTGATTGAGTACAGCTGTGCGTTTTATTGATTTATTTATTTTATTTGCATTTGCATTTGCATTTATTCTGTGCAGAATTTACTCCCGGGCCCTAAGTTTTTGTTTCTTCAGTTTCTTCTGGGCTATCTTTTTCTTCTGTGCAACCTCCTCTTCTGGTTTGGGAACAATCTGCTCTTTCAGTAAGGATCATCTCAGTGTGGCAGGGAGAGCTCATGTATGGGTTAATCCGACCACGAGCCCTGTACATTCTACGCTGCATTTTGGGGGCTTGTTCACCTGGATGTGCTCAGTGACCAGAGAATCAGCATCTAAACCCTTAAGTTCAGCATTACTCTCTGCATTTTTGAGCATGTGCAGTAAAAATTCAGCACTCTTCGTGGGCCACCGACCCTGTGTCCACCCCCACTGTTCGGCCTGGGCACACCAACCAGCTCCACCATTGTAGCGATGGAATGGCACACCCTGCTTCTGTAAAGTGATGTCTTTCAGGTACTTGGTGGCTTTTCGGATACGCATACCCTTGATGGCCTGGGCAGTTTCACGTGCGTTCTTAAAGTGAACACGAAGATCTGAGCCTCTTGATTTACATGATTGTGTAGGGTTTTCTGGGTCAAGCGAATAGCGAACCATTTTCAGAGGTCACCTCAGGCCGCTTAGGGGAAGAGGAAGAGCAGTGGCTCCGGGGAGAATTCCCAGCTGTGCGTTTTAACTCGTTCTCAGATGCTGCCGCTGATCCAGGGACCACCCTTGGAGAACCACTGAGCTTGGGAGACAGCGGTCATGATTGCCTGGCTTTGTGAGGCCCCCTCTTGGAGATGCCGACAATGGCTCTGAGGCAACCTCATGCCTGGCCTGGCCCGGGAGCTCCTCCTCCCCTTGGTCACGCTGAGGCCAGAAGCCAGGAGGCGGTGATGTTGGGCAGACGAGGACCGGGGGTCTAGGAGCTCCAGTGTATTGGGTCGGGTGATACCCAAGGCTGGACGGGGACAGTCTGTAGCTAAGGAAGTCTTGCACGCTAGTCGTCACAGCGATAGCAAAGTCCAGGGAGAAGTGCAGGGCTCAAACATGGAGAAAGTCTTCAAAAATAATGGCAGGCGAGGTCCGGGGACTACGTAATTTGGAGTTGTGACACTGATGAATGGGGATTCCACCACCAAAACGGGTCCTTGAATGGAAGGACTTGATATTCTTTTTCTTTTTTAAGATTTTATTTATTTATTTGAGAAAGAGAGAAAGCGGGAGATCACAGAGGGAGTGGGAGAGGGAGAAGCAGACTCACCACTGAGTGGAGAGCCCGATGCGGGGCTCGATCTCAGGACCCTGAGATCATGACTTGAGCCAAAGGCAGACGCTTAACCGACTGAGCCACCCAGGTGCCCCCAGAAGGACTTGGTATTCTGTATGCTTTACACTCTGGGTGCAAAGGCAGCAAAGGGAAAGCATTGCCCTGTGCTCATAGGGGAGCGAGTAAAACTGAAGGCAGAGACAGGAGTCCGTGGGTGTGCTCTGCTCCTGATGGGGCTGAGGCAGAGGGGCTCAGAGTCCCATGAATAACTCTGGCAGAGCCATGTGCAAGTATCCGTGTGATGGACACGTGCTTGTTGCCAGGGGAAGCCTAAAAAGAATTTTTTGTATGATGCTTAGTGATGCAAGAAATTGATCTCAAGAAACCATTTTGGTAGAAAAGTCTGACGTCGATGGCTTTTGCACAGTGTAGACAGTTAGCACTCAGCCCTCTCTTGGGTTGATCTAGAACTGGCCACTGCTTTGTATCTGCTGGGTCTGTCCCAACCCCGGAAGCATCCCCTTCATTCACTTTGGAAATTGTACTGTATTCTGCAAAATGACTAAGAGCAAGCAAGCTGGCAAAGCTGAGGCCAAGAGTGGTTATAACTCTCTCCCCGCAGTACATGGTGAAGCGCTGGCTGAGCCCCGAGCCTTTCCCGAGATCTTCCATTAATCATTCAGGCTCTCTGACATTTCCAGACCAAATGAGGAAAGAATATGACCTAGCCTGGGAGTTACCATTTGTTCTTAAGAAAAAGCTGTACACTGCCTCATTATAATAAAAAAAAACTATTCTCGACCCACTGCCCTTCAGTTGGTAAATTGTTCTTATCAGAGCATCTTCGTATCATTAGACGGATGTGGGCTCCAGGGGCGCTCGTGTCCAGGTCAGAGGAGGCTCACCCCTTGCCCGAGAGCCTCTAAGAGAACCCCAGGATCTGAATGCTTAGCAGCCTCCGGTGGTAAGCTCGAGACAGTGTTGTCTTTCCTCCTGATGGAGTTTTAATTCCACCGCAAACCCGTATTGGCTAAAATAAGGTTCAGTGATAGACAGGGAGCATTAAGATGCGTAAGCACAAGAATGGAACAGGAAGTGAAAGAATTCCAGCGTGTGACAGACAGTGACAAATGAGCCAGGCTGAGAAAGTCTCCCGGGCTGATAATAGCTTCAACATTGTACTTGTACCAAAAGGGGCTTGGAACAGAATGAGAGAGACAGCGAGTTTGATAATAATGCTCCACACGTCTCCTCGGAGGGACTTTTGAAAACATTTCTCCTAAGTCAAGAAAGGTCTGCAAAGTGGCATCCAGGGCATTCGCCGGGTTAAGTATTCACATGGGTGTCATTTCGAGAACGTTCTCAGACCAAACAGACATCACTGCTGTCACCAGCCAACTGGGATGGCCCTCAATCCATTTTTGGCTACATTTTGATGACAAGATGAAATCGAAACATCGCTGGTACGCAGTGGTTCCAGCCACATAGATGTTTGTTGGCATCTGCTTTGTGGATGTCTTTCCTTTCATGCGGGGCCTTAATTCTGTAAGGCCTCCAGGACTTTTGTGGGCAGTACCAAGAACAAACAAGAGAAGAACAATACTGGCGTTAGCCAGGACGTCTAGTCCAATCTAATCTCTGATAGGTACACACATTTGGGGGCCTGGTCTGGTGTGTGTCTTTCTAATCCCCGGAACATCCGACATGGCTGAGTTCACACTCTCTCATAATGTGCAAGAATCACTTTTAAGGAAATGGGAGTCTCTTCCCAAAGGCTTTAGCATAAAGGATGAGGGCAAGGGTCACCTCCTCTGAATATTTTCATGGAAAGTTCTTCCATTTCACGAAGGAAGAGCTGGAGAAAGTGTCTGCAGCTCTATCCCGCGGGGTCTGAGTCACTGTTTCTGTTGGGAAGCTGACTCAGCCTTTGTCTGAAGGGTGGGTGGCAGAGAAGAGGCAGCCTGTGGTTTGTATCTGGTCATCCGTCTCACCAGGCATCAGATTCCCCCAAGGGCTTGCCAAGCAGAGTCCTACTGATGCTGTGAGGGTCGTCCATCGTGGTTTCCTCCTGCTTCCAGGATGACCTCTGGTGGGACCTCTGTTTGCTTTCCAAAGGAGACGGGCCAGTGCGTCCCTTCCCATGCAGCACCAAAATGACCCCCCCAGGTCTGAGGCCGGAGTAACTGGAGTATCCCTGTGGGGTAGGTGCTTCCAGAACATGTGAAAGCCACCCCAGGCTCCTGTCAGACCCTCTCCTCATCGGGGGAGGGCGGGCTGGGACGCTTGGCAGGCCTGTCAGGTAAGGCAGTGTCGGGATTCTGGAAGCTGACAGGTGACACATGCCATGACGTCTTTCATAAGCCTCAGCCTGTGGCGACCACTCACTTTGCTCCATCCTAAAAATCATCTCTGGCCCCCTGGACATGTCATACAGACTCACCTTGGCAGGAAGGAAGGACATTGCCCTGTCACTCCGCACCCCCGCCCCAGGCCCCCCATCCGCCAGGCTGGACGGCATCTTCTCTCTCCCGAGACAAGAGAAGTTGGTCTTACCTCTATGGAAATAAATGAAGACCAACCAAACCAGAACAGTGGAGACTACTCATGCAGCGCTGGCTGGAGCAAGGGAGCTGGACACTAGCACTTGGGTTTGGCAGAGACGGGAAGCTCAAAGGGAAGGTTCCGGGGGTGCCCTGATTGGAGGCTGCTGGCCTGGGGAGGCTGGAGGCGGGCTAACTAGAATCGGGGTGTCCTATCCATCGGGATGATGGATTAGGGTGCACATTTGGTTTTCTCGGATTGGTGCTAAGTTGGAAGAGGGTCCAAAAGGGAAGCTTGCAGCTCTTTGTCAAGTCCTGACCATTTTTGCCCAACTGCTCAAGTGGTTGTTGTCTCGCTCCCTGGACTGGTTGCTAGAGGCAGTGATCTGACCGCCTACAGGACTAACTTGCCCCGCAGGCTGGCTTCCGAGCTGTCCATGAATGTCCTGAGATGCCTCTCCCTGCCCATGCACCTGCTTACATGCCCAGCCCTAAAATAACTTCTTCCTTAATCAATCTTTCTTCAGCCCTCCCCTTCTCCTTCTAAAACTCCATCTCCAAGTACGGGGTCTTGGTGGCCAACTGCAAAAGGCGACCTGATTAAGGTGTGATATGCCTGCAGAGCCTTCCCAGATGACTCTGCATCTCTAGAGAAGATGCTGGTTAAAGCTTATGCAGCTCCAATTCATGCAAGTTCCGGGGTGTGATTCAGGGTAAGGACCCCCGGCAGTTCTGGGAGGGGAGTATCTTGAAGCGTATAATTATGTCCTGTGTGGTGGGAGGGACTCCTTAATTGCTGAGAGGACAGCCGCACCCCAGGGCAGGGCACAAACCCAGGACTGAACAAGGGATCTGAAGTCACCCTGGAGTGATGCAGTTCAGAGGACTGTCACCACACTGGGTTGTTCCCTGGCCTCTCAGGTTGGAGATGGACCATCACCAGCTCTCACTAGCTCTCTCAGGTCACTTCCAAAATTCTGTCCCCATAGCTTTGGGTTCAATATTCTGATGCTCATGGAGTGTGTTCTGTTCAGATAAGAGCCCACAAGGGGAATATCAATGGTTAGGAATCTGGGAGAGAAGCTGCAGAAGGCTGGGTCTGGACCACCTTTGTTGGGTCAATAGGATTTCGTGTCTCCCTACTTGTCTTTAATGTGAAAATCATGTCGCTGATGCTGGACAAAGTATGGGGAATATAATAAAAACAAAATTGACTCCTGACCCCCAAAACCCCTCCACGAAGGTAGGAGAGAAAGAAAACAGGTTTATTACGGAACCACATTAAACTGGAATGTGATGAGCATCACAGGCCAGCAGCCAGAAGGGTTGCAAAGACAGAAAGCATCTCTCTTCATAGCTAAGTGGATAAGTCGTTTACATTAAGCAGGTTTCGAAAGGTGGAGTCAGGTGAAACTTAGGTGCATCCCCCCCTGGGGAAACGGGGTGTTACCTTCCTTGATGATTACAGACAAAGAGATGGCCCCCAGGTCTTTGAGGACACAATCCTGAGTTGTGAGACTGGCAAGTGGTTTCTGTGGCCCATAAAAAAGATTTATGACCATTTGAGAAGGATGAAGAAAGGAATCCTGAAAGAAAAAGGAAAGGTGGGGAGTCTTTTTTCCCCTTCCTTTTCACTGGGAGAATGAAACTTCTTATTTTGTATTTGTATTTGCCCTTACAAAAGCCACCCCTGAGTCAGGAGTCAGGGACTCGGGAGCTGGTTTAGGGGACTGAGCCAGAACCCAGTAGCCATCAAGCCTGTGGGATGGCCCCGGGATGTGGGAGCAGCTCCCCCTTGGGATGAGTTTCTCTCCTCCCTGGGCCACCAGCAGCCACAGGGAGGGAATAGAGCCTTGTTCCTGGCTAGAGACACCCAGGGGTGGGGGGGGGGCGGGATTTATAAGGGCTTCTGTCCTCCTTTCCTTCCTCCCACACAGCCCAACCCCCTCCCTGCCCCACCCTCTTAGATTCTCACGTTTTTATCTCCGATCTTGACGCACAAGATAAGGTTTCTATAATGGAAAATAAGAGCAAGAACGAGTCAGGTGGTGAGTCAGAGCCATTCAGCCAGCAATTTCAGAAAGGGCTGACGCTGGGGCTGCCGCGGGAGGCAGAGCATCACAAGCCTTCCTTCCCCCTCCCTCCGAGGAAGGCTCTGGAAACACCGCCCCTGTCCTGCTGTTCCTTCCAGGGCACTCTGGTGGAGTGGGCGTCCTGCAGTTTCTGAAACATGCCCTCCGCGGCCCAGGCCCCTACAGTGGGTTTCTAGCAAAGCTGTCAGAGGTTGTGAAAAAGATCTCGATTAAATCATAAGGTCAAAGCCTCTGCCTCTAGACGGGTCATGACCTGATGTCCTTGGGGCAGATAACTGCTGGTCTTACCTTAAATTAAATGCTGACCTTGCTACAGTCTCCTGCTCATTCCTGCTCTTTTGTTCGCTCATTCCCCTCTTCAACAGAAATGGATTGATGGCCAGCTCCGTGTTGGCATCGCTCCCACAGTGTGTGGACGAGGGACAGCTTCTGCCTCCGCAGGTCCCTACAGAGAGAACAAACGCGTCAAGCTGTGGGGTCTGAGCCATCCATCCCTGCCCCCCGCCGGGGTGAGCCCTGGCAGTCACCTTGGCATGTGCTCTGAATCCTGTTGTTCCTCACCTGGCTACCCAAAACCCAGGTTCGGCTGCTGTCCCTGGAAAAGCCAATACTCAAGAGACGAGTTTTGATTAGAAAGGAGTATGAGCTTTGTTCCAGAGGCCGGCCACCTGCGGGAGAAGGCAGACTCTTTTTTTTTTTTTTTTTAAGATTTTATTTATTTATTTGAGAGAGAGACAAGAGATAGCAAGAGAAAGCACGAGCGAACGGGGAGGAGAGGGAGAAGCAGGCTCCCCGCTGAGCAGGGAACCCCATGTGGGACTCGATCCCAGGACTCTGGGATCATGATGAACCACCCAGGCGCCCTGGGAAGGCAGACTCTTGCCCCAAAACCAACTCCGAGGTTTCTGCCTGGCCCAATGATTTTTAAAGGAATTTTAGGGCAGTTAATCAGTAAAAGGGAAGCAGTGTGGTCTATAACACTTGATTATGTGCAGACCCAATGGTGCCGGCTACAGATGTTACCAGATGTTCAGAGGTAGTGGGGGGGGCGGGGAGGTTGGGCAAGAGGGCTTGGTTGGTTCTGAGTCTTTCTAGGAAACAATGCATGATCGATAGATAAAGAAAGGTTTAGTTAATTCATCACTCAGGCTGAAGCCACTTGCTAAAGTTGGCTGAAGGGCCTAAGTGGCAGCCTCAACCTTCCCAAATCTTCAGCAGGAAGACCAGGAAAGCTTTCTTGAAGAGCACCTGGCAGATAAGGCTGCTAGGACGCGGGGCGCCTGGGTGGCTCAGTCGGTTAGGCGTCTGCCTTCGGCTCAGGTCATGATCCCGGGGTCCTGGGATCGAGCCCCGCATCGGGCTCCCTGCTCAACGGGGAGCCTGCTTCTCCCTCTGCCTCTCTCTCTCTCTCTCTCTCTCTCTGTCTCTCATGAATAAATAAATAAAATCTTTAAAAAAAAAAGGCTGCTAGGACGCTTAGCTGTGGTCTCGGCCTGGGGCCACAATCCATGATTCAGCTGTGCTGTCAGGTGTGCCCGTGCAAGGTCAAGGAGCCAACTTCGTCTTTTCTCGGGCACGCCCATCCCAAGCATCTAAGTTATCATTAACTCTGATCAGCATAGTGATAGTCAACAACCTTATATCTCCTCTGTTCTGCCTTGGGTGAATTCTTCCATTGCCCTTGCCCCTGGCCTCCACCCGATAGGGTCACCCCACATTTGGTGGCCCCCCCATCCGAGACCCCACATTGACAACATTTGCAACATCCGTCCTTGCCCTGGCAAAGCTAAGCCAAAAGAAATCTCACATCCCCACTGAGTTCAGTTGATAGCGAGTGACTAATACCCTAAAGTGGTTTAGTGATCACAAGAGAAATTACTGTCTCTACATCAAAACGTTAAATGTAAAAACTGACTTCTAAGTTTTTTCATGATACCATTGCAGTAATAATTAAATACTTTCTGGCGATATTTCAGATTTATTCCTGTAGCCCATGAGTTCAGACTTTGCTGAGTTTAGTCTTTGATATTTGTCTTCAACATCAACTGGGTATTGATTTTTTTTTTAATTTTTATTTATTTATTTGACAGAGAGAGAGATAGCGAGAGCAGGAACACAAGCAGGCGGAGTGGGAGAGGGAGAAGCAGGCTTCCTGCCGAGCAGGGAACCCGATGTGGGACTCGATCCCAGGACCCTGGGATCATGACCTGAGCTGAAGGCAGACGCTTAACGACTGAGCCACCCAGGCGCCCCAACTGGGTATTGATTTTAACAGTCAGTCATTCCCATCCAGCCAAAATGATCATTCAACGCACCTGTAGTCACAGAGGATACCCTTATGCTGAGTCTACACAGTTCTAAGTGACTGGCCTATGGGGAAGTCGGGGTGCGGGTGGGTGTGAATGAAGGACAGTGAAGGCAAAGATCAAGGGTAACCAAACAGCTGAAGGAGTTGTGAGCTCAAGAGCTTGTGTGTGATAACATGAATCTTGCAGCTCACCCTACACTGACCCCCACTTCCTTCTCAAGGAAGGGGTGTCTGTGTTTATTTTTTGAGGCCAACGTTCTGTTTGGTATGAGCATTTTAGCACTTGAGCTCCCATCTTGTCCCCACTCTGACCCTGAGTTCTTTTGTCCCCAGGCCTTCTTTTTCCAAGACCGGGATCTTGCCTTGTCCCCAGTCTTGAAGGGCCCCAAAGCCTGCTCTTGAAAGTCCAAGCTTGTAGCTGCGTCCCTACTGCCCAAGGCCAGGTTCCGTCTCCCAGAGCCTACCCTCGACTCCACTGCATGCCCTCTCCTGAGCTGAGCACCAACTGTCCAGCATGGGCTGGTTCTGCTCCTGACCTGACGTGAACTGAAGCCCCATTAACAGGGGGCACAGCCGCCACACTATTAAATAGAGAAGTGTGCTTGATTGGAGCTTTCAGACAAAATAAATTGGAATTTAAGAAATCTTTGGAATAAATAGGTAAAGGAAGAAAAACATATCAGAGGTACAGACATTTAAGAAAATAGCTCTTGTACCAAGCCACACAATACCTGGCCTTGAAATGATACTGATTTTACGAGTTAACAGGGAGTGAGGACCCTAGGAGGAATCATACCAGTTCATGGGGGAGGGCAAGCGGATAGCTTACTGCTACAATATCTTACTTCATCGTGATTCTGTGTCTAGAACAGTGGAGTAGATATCCAGAAAAATGTGCCGTATAATCAAATGAATTGGAAAATTCTTCCACATCTGCCTTTCCAAAGCATGCTTGTTAAATTTTGGTTTAAACATTTTCAGTGCTTAGGGCGCCTGGGTGACTCAGAAGACTGAGCATCCAACTCTTTTTTTTTTTTTTTTTTGGTTAAGATTTTATTTATTCACAAGCAGAGGGAGAGAGAGGGAGAAGCAGGCTCCCTGCTGAGCGAGGAGCCTGATGCGGGACTCGATCCCAGGGCCCTGGGACCATGACCCAGGCCGAAGGCAGCCGCTTAACCGACTGAGCCACCCAGGCGTCCCAGCATCCAACTCTTGATTTTGGCTCAGGTCATGATCTTAGGGTCGTGAGATTGAGCCCCATGTCAGGCTCCATGCTCAGCTGGGAGTCTGCTTGAGATTCTCTCTCTTCCTCTGCCCTTCCCTCCACTCTATCTCTCTCTTCAAATAAGTAAATAAATAAAATCTTAAAAAAAAACATTTCCAATGCTTACGTTTTCTCTTTTAAATTTAAACTTTTTATTCTGAAAAAAACCCTCAGACATCAGAAAAGTTATAAGACCACAATAAAGTACAATAAACTCCATATACCCTTCACCTGAGTTCACCAAATTAGTCATTTTTACACATTGCTTTCTTGCTCTAATTTTCTTCTTTCTTTCTCTCCCTCACTCTCCTTCCTCTGTCCCTCTCTCTCACTCATAATATCTCGTAAGAGCAAAGACATTCTCTTACCCATGGTACAATTAGTCCAAGTCAGGGGATTTCATAATAATTCTATTCTATTATCTGACCACACTCCTCAAACTTTTTTCCAATGGTTTGACCATCTATTGATAATTTTAGCTTTAATCAATCATTACAATGATGATTCAAAATGCAATGTTCTATAATTCCTTCTACATTTATTAGCCCTTTAAAACAACCCAGAAAATTGCAGATAAAGCTAAGTTCTTCCACTATTTCTCAGAGGTAGGGTATAAAATTATTATTTTGATGCAATATTCCACCATCGATTCCACATAGTTTCATTTTTTAATTATTTCAATCCTTGCTTCATCTGAGTACATTGTGACATATGGAGCCAACTTAATTTTTTTCCCAAGTAATGACCTTATTTTCTTATCACCATTTGTTAAAAGTCCATGTTTTCTCCCAATGATTCGCTATGACACCTTTATCAAATTCTAAATTCCCACATAATTTGGGTCCATTTTGGTGTTTATATTTTATTCCATCTGTTTGTCTTTTCATGGCCCATAGTCCCTGTTTTAATTATAAAGCTTGTGTAATATGTTGTGCTATCTGTTGGGAGACAATTGTCTCTGGGTTTCTTGCAGTTTTGCACATCTTTTGAGCTGAAGATGCCTTTGTTCTGGGCTATCTTTCGAGGATATACGAATAGCAAACAGCTGTGGATGACAGAGATCATTTCTCCTGGAAGCAAAGGGCAGGCATACTTCCATCATTATAAAAGATCTGGGCTGCCTAAGTTCAGGGTTTCTTCCCTGTCATGCAACCCACCTGGCTCTCTGTGTCACCTGTGGCAGCTAGGGCATAGGAACCCACCCAGGAAAAGGTTGATAATGCTGACACTCTGCTTTAGCCAGGAGTCTTGTGTCTTCTACCATCCCATGAAACTGTGGGAGGCTAACTTGTTAGCTTACAGGTAGGGTAAAATCTCTGACCCTTCCCCAGTTGTTGACATCACTTTGTAAGGGAGTCCTTCCTCAATGCTCCTCTTGGTTAGAGTTTTCCTGGTACTCTTGCATGCTTATTTGTCCAGTAACCTCTAGAATTAATCTAGTTCTCAAAGTCAATCAATCAAACAAAAACTTGTATTTTATATGGAGCATGTTAATTATACATATCAATTTCAAGAGAGTCTACAGCTTCATTGGTGAGTGTTTCCCTTTTCTATGTTCTCATGGTCAATCTTGTAATCCAGGTCTTTATCAATTTACACTTGAACTATGGGACTTCTTAAAATCAAATCTTGGATTTTATTTTAAATAAATGAAAAGAAAACCCTTTTAAACCTTAGGATGAAAAGCACAGTGGCCAAAACGTGGTCTGTCATTAAAATAGAACACACCCCATAGGGCTTTCCTAAAGGTAAGTGAATTCATGCATGTGGGTCAAGCATGGTAAGAACTCAACACACGGTAGTGATTGTGATTATAACTATTTCTTTTTTGCAGCAGTGATCTTTCATCTCATATGGTCAGAAAAATCCCAGTTCTAACCATTTTCGTATGTGCAAATATGTATGGTGAGGACGCTTAAATAATTCTTATAATATGGAAATACGATTTATTGGGTGCCTATCTGACATGGATACATTAATTTGACTAATATGGTAATGATCACCTATAAATAAAGTCCTCTCCCTAAATGTATCTTTTAATTGAAAACATTTTACATTTCTCATGGAGGCCACTACTTCATCATTTTTACAATTTAATGAGGATGAAAGCCCTGCTCATGCAGGAAGAGATAGTAATGGATGGTTTTGTTCCTTATCAGAACCATTAAGATAATTCTGAGTCCTCTGTCCTTGGAAATGTTTGGGTCATAGACTGAAACTGATGGAAGGCACAATCCCGTTTTTAACTGGAATTTTCTTATTTGCTTTATTCAAAGGTGTATTTTTCAATTCTCATTAATTCATTTAGATATTAAAAGTCCTGCCTTTTCTGCCATAATAAAGTGCCCAAATGATTTCCATGATAACATGCTAGCCTAAATCTGAAACGTAAAGTAGTCGTTAGTTGTTAAGAACAAGCTACTGGTGGCATAATAACCTTTTCCAGGGGCAGGAACAAAACCCAGGCAAAGCCAGGTGGGATCTGAGGCATGGTCTCCCAGCACCAAACCACCCCCACCCCATTCTTATGGCTCCTTAAGCCCCATTCCAGCTGGAGAAACCAAGAAGCAAGTTACCATCAGCTGGTTGGCAGGGATGAGAAAACCGGATGAGCACATTTCTCCGGAAGAAATATGGCTCATGAGGAGTTATGAAGACAAGCGGGAGAAAGGCACTAACATCAAAGTCAGCCCTGATGATGAGCTCTGGTTTCAATCCTCTGCCTCAGTATTCCACCCCCCCCCCCCCCCCCGCCCCAGGTCTTTTGATAATTTAGAGAACCAGACCTGCTGTAATCTGAAGAATTCTACATAAAGAGACATACAGAAATGTGGCTGACATCCCTTATTATCATGCTCACTGGCTTTCTTTGACAACTTACCTTTGAAAAAAGCTTCAAGTGCATGGACTGGTTCTCTAAGAACATTCTAGCTGAAACCATATTTCCTGTTTTTTCCAGGGATAGTTTCCACAGGCCCTTCCAGATCCGGTCTCCACCCATCTCCTCTCCGCTCTCTGTCCCGGGACGCTGGTCTATAGGGACGGTATCAACGTCTCCCTCGCTCTGGCTTCTGGTTGGATTCAGCCAAGGAAAGGCGGGAGGAGAAGGAAGTCCAGAACTCCCCCTTCCGGACTGCCTTGGTTGGCTGCATCCCCTACAGCTGAGGTGATCTTTCTGGCTTTCAGTAACGGCTCCCTCCTTTTGCCCCTGAAGTCTGGCACTGGTGAGGTCTTTATTAGACCCAGGTGCTTAATGGTGCTGTGTTGGTTCCTCCAGCTTTACCCGCACCTGCTATGGCTCCTAGAGCCCCTCCTCATGTCCCCTCTTTGAGTGGGCCATCTCTTTTCTGCTGGGGGCCTATTCTAGTTGCCCAGGGCCGCTGTGACAAATACCCAAGATGGAGCAGCTTAAAATGACAGAAATTTGTTCTCTTACAATCTGGAGTTTAGGACTCTAGAATCAAGGTGTTGGCTGCCAACAGGGCCATGCTCTCTCCGGAGGCTCTAGGGAGACTCCTCCAGGCATTTCTCTCAGCTTCCGGTGTTACCAGCAGTCCTTGGCTTGCAGATGCATCGCTCCGATCTCTGCTCCCTCTTCACAGGGCTGGCACCTCTCTTGTGTCTCTGTCTCTTCTTCTCAGGACACCAGTCATACTGGATTAAGGGCCCACCCTACTCCAGTGTGACTTCATCTTAATTTAAGGACATCTGCGAAGACCCTGTGTCCAATAAGGTCACATCCACAGATATAAGGGGTTAGGATTTCAACATATGTTTTTGGAGGGTTTGGAGCTCAACCCACAACAGGGCCCAACCGATATGGTGCCTCAAGTGGGCTTTTCTCCCTCCAGATTCCCATGACCCCTGGTCTCCTCCACTGGTCCTCCTTCTGGGTTCACTTTCTTCAAGTTGCTCTCTTTCTTGATTTCTCAATTACCTCAAACTCTTCTTTCTGTCCTGGTCCCATTGCCACCCATCCAATGTTTTTTTAATATTTTATTTTGTATTTTTTAAGTGGAGCCCCACATGGGGCTTGAACCCATGGCCCAACCGAGTCCACGTTACCTAAGTAGGTTTAGGTTGGGATTTCTGTGACTTGCAGCCGAAGGCAAGTGCACCACCAGGTTTTCCTTTTGTTTTTTGTTTCTTGTTTCTAACCGACTAAGCAGATGGAAAATTAACTAAACACAAAACAAATCAGAAAACCACTTTCTTGGATGCAAGATGGCCAGATCAGAACTTGAGGCTGACTGGTTCTCAGTGTCAGGATGTCGATGGGGGACACTTCCACTCTTCCCAGACCCCTGGGGTCTCAGCCCCATCAGGTCTGCCCTGAGTGGACGCTGCAAACAGGCTCGTGGCTGGACGTCCCGTGGGAGGAGCGCGCATGGCACGCTGACCTGCCAGGCGGCTTTGGGTTTGGGGAAAACAGGTCAGGGAACCACACCTGGGGGAGGAGGCAGCTTTCCCATGCACTATGAACAGACTGCTAGAAAGAATAGAGACGGAAAGCATATTCATTAAAAAGAAGGCTGCAATTAGGACTTCTGGATAGAAATGAGGACTGAGCACAAATATTTACATCTACTCCCTCCTTAAACTCACTAAATGACAGTAAAGATGGTGAAATATATATTTTTAACTGTATAAACTCACAAGAATTGGAGAGAAGACAATATTGACAGTTTTGGAAGCCGAACAGCAGATAGATGAATGGTAACTTAGCCGACTTCAGAAAACTGGATCCCAAGCCAGTAGTAGGGAAGCGACAGAACTCGAATTGCATGCATACATATACACATGTTTGCACGCACACACACACACCTGAGGAATCAGCAGCCCCAGCACCTTAGGAAGCAGGCGTGAAGGTGGGGCAGCAGGTAGGAATTCGATCATTAACCTCCCCGCCCCCCCACACAGCTGGGTGCTTCCACCCCCCCATCTCAATGGCAGCTTCATCTCTGGAGAGGGTAAAACCAAGGGTCACAGGTTCAGGAGACAGCTGACACAACTGGGGCTAAGGTGCTGGTTAACAAACAACAGGTGGGCGTAAAGGAAGGTTTTCCGCATGAATGTAAGCTCCCCCCTCCCCCCACCCACCCCTCCTCCTCCTCCTGGAGCTTCCCCACTCCCGTCTGGATCTAAAAAGGCCACCTTCTGGGTTTCTGCAATAAAATGGTTCATCCAGATTTCCCTATCTGTAGACCACGGTCATGTGCACAGAGCTTCCAACCAGCTCTTTAGACCCCTCCTCTTAAATTGGAGTAGACAGCCAAGAATCATAATTTATCTGAGGAAATGTGCCATTTGAAAAACAGACTAAGAAACAAGCGACTCAGAAAAAAACGGCTTAGAGGGAATAGAGACAACGCAGGGGAAGAAGACTTCAGAATACCCGTAGTGGTGGTCTAGAAGTCAGGAGGGCAGAACAGTCAGCCTGAAATAGCTGGATGTGACCATAAATAACGAGTCAGGTAATTAGAAATACCCTTTGGATTAAAGACAGGATGGCAGAAATTAAAAAAAAATACATTAGAGAGTTTGGAAAATAAATCAAGGATTTCTCAAAAACAAAACAAACAACAACAACAAAAAAAGTAGGGGAGAAAGAATAAAACAATTCAAGTCTGGTCAAAGAGGAGGAACATCTAAATACCCAGGAGTTCTAGAGAATGGAGGGAAGATGATTTTTTAAGTTTTTAATTTTTATTTTTTAATTAAAAAATTTTTTAAAAGATTTTATTTGAGAGAGAAAGAGAGAGAGAGGGAGTGCCAGCAGGGGTGGGTTTGATGGGGGAAGAAGGGGGAGTGGCAGAGAGAGAAGCAGACACCCCACCGAGCAGGGAGCCTGATGCGGGGCTCCATCCCAAGACCCCGAGATCATACCTGAGCCAAAGGCAGTCGCTTAACCGACTGAGCCACCCAGGGTCCAAGGAGTTTTGTTTTTTTTTTTTAAAGATTTATTTATTTATTTGAGAGAGTGAGAATGAGAGAGAGAGAATGAGAGAGAGCACATGAGAGGGGGGAGTGTCAGAGGGAGAAGCAGACTCCCTGCTGAGCAGGGAGCCCGATGCGGGACTCGATCCAGTGACTCCAGGATCATGACCTGAGCCAAAGGCAGTCGCTTAACCAACTGAGCCACCCAGGCGCCCCTCAAGGATTTTTTTAAATTCATGAAAATGTCCCAGAATCAAAGGAGAGGAGTTCCCAGATGGAAAGGGCCACAGAGAATCCAGCTCAACAGATAAAAATAGACTCATGCCTGGGCCAATGGCTGAAATAGGTGATGGGGATTAAGGAATGCATTTGTTGAGATGAGCACTGGGTGATGTATGGAAGTGTTGAATCACTATATTGTACACCCAAAACTAATATAACACTGTATGTTAACTGGAATTAAAATTAAAAAAAAAAAAATGGACTCACACCAACATCCGTCACCATGAAGTTTCAAATTCCCAGAAGCCAAGAGATGATCCTACAAGCCTCTAGAGAGAACGTTTTCCTAGGAAAGATCAATAATCAGAATGGCTTGGGCTTTTCAGTAGTGACACTGAAAAGCTCAGAGACAATGGGGATGGTCTCAGAATTCCCAGGGAAAATAGCTCCCGACTGGAACTCTACACCCAGCCAAATGTGAAGCAAATGGGAGACAGGATAAAAACCTAGACATGCAAAACCCAAGAACAATTTACCCCCCATGTCCACTTCTCAGGAATCAACCTATAGAAACGTGCCCGACCAAAACCAGGAGTAACTAAGGGAGAAAGGGGCATGAAATACAGGCTAGGGGAGGTCACAAAGGCAAGAAGTGATGGGGATTTGAAGATCATTTTACAAGGATCTTTTTGGCCTCCAGATTGTAATCTGCTAAAAAAAAAAACAAACCCAAAATTCAACTGAGTAAATTTGAAGATCTAATTGGCTTTAAGTGATTCAGAATCAGGCAGCAGTCCACCTGGCCAGGAGGGGTGGGGTGCCCCAAGGGGGCATACAAAATGGAAGGTTTTTATAGGAAGGGGAGGGCTGCAAGAAGTTATTAGCTCAAGAAAGGAAAGGATTATTTTTGGCAAGGTGGACTTCCTTTGTGGAAAGGGCCGGGGGGGGATGTCTCATCATGCAGATGAGGAAGACCCCATCTTCCTTTGGGGGATGGAGAGGGTCCAGGTGCAGATCACCTCATAGGTGCTAACCAGAAAATTCCAGATTAATTGGCTTAAGATTCTACTCCTGCAGAGGTTGAAACTGCCTTTAAGTCTTGGCTTGCTGTCCTGGGGGCAAGTGACTCCGCCCTGGGCCTGTGTTTTTCTGTTTAACAAATCCCTCAGTAGGTTCCAGAAGAAACCTCTTGAAGATGATGAAATTGCTAGGACGTGTCGTGTATTTGGTCACATCGAGAGGAGATTTACTAAGCCGAGGGAGATCTGGAGGTTGAATTTGTGAGGATCTGTAGAAAAATAAGCAACCTTGAAAAGGAATGATTAACTCCAGGGCCAACAAGCCAGGGTTATCATCGTGCACCAAGGGGAAAACTAATCACAGCGTATGGTGTGGCTTATGTGAAGATCACACCGACTCGAGCACAACAACGTACCAGTGAATATTGATCTAACTAAAATCACCACGTGGCTGTGCTGAGAGGATGGGGACCCCATCCTCCCCCTCATGCAAGTGCACATTTGTCGCTGCTGTGAACGGCAGGGTGTGCGTCGAGAACAAATTCTCCTTCTCTACAGTAGGAAGTTAACATAGAAAGCTTTAAACTGAGAAGCCAACCACTGGTTGTATAAGCAGGCTATTTGGAGGTCAACAATTAGTTGCAAGAGTTCAAAGTGGTTGCCCCTAGGGAGTGGGAACCGGGCGGGGCGGGAAAACCGGAGGATTGCTATTTTTCAAAACAAGTCTTGTAGAGATCTTTGCCTTTTAGACTTTGCATGTACTGATTTGATAAAAGACAAAAAACTAGTTTTTTTAAATGCGCTATATTCGTACAGAGTATTCAGGGTGGTGGATTGGGTTTGGACAGACATTTTGATCGAGGTGGGCA